GCAGTCGGTTAAGCGTCCGACTTCAGCCAGGTCACGATCTCGCGGTCCATGAGTTCGAGCCCCCGCGTCGGGCTCTGGGCTGATGGCTCGGAGCCTGGAGCCTGTTTCCGATTCTGTGTCTCCCTCTCTCTCTGCCCCTCCCCCGTTCATGCTCTGTCTCTCTCTGTCCCAAAAATAAATAAACGTTAAAAAAAAAAATTTTTTTTTAAAAAATTGAATTTGGAAAAGATTACCCTGTAGTTTTATATGATAATGGGAAACCACAGAAAAACACTCTAGGTCATCGCAATATCTCTCTCAGTCAGACATAGTACGTGAAAATCTAAAACTGAAACATTTTCTTTCTAATCAAAAGTGATTCTAGTCTTTTTTCCTGGGAATAATGAGGTGTATTTGTCGTTTTTTAATTTTTTATTTTTCCTTCTCCTGTGTATGCTTTCTGGCTTCCTCGATTCTAGCTCCATGATACTAACAATGAGTGATACTAACAATGTTTAAGTCTTTTGAAAATGAGACATAGAGTATGTGAGATACAATTACCGGTAATAGGAATTAATAGCATTTCTTTTGAAAATGAATTAAATTTCAATAATTATTTTTAATTTTATTTTTTTAAGTAATCTCTACATCCAATGTGGATCTTGAATTTACAACCTCAAGGTCAAGAGTCGCATGCTCTATGCACTGAGCCAGTCAGGCACTCCAATAATTTTTAATATTTCAATCATTGATAAATACTTTTTATGTTTTAATGAAAACATTTTAATCTAAAGCCAATATTTATTTGATAGTTGAAATAAAAATCTCATGTATGGCTGTATATTTATTACATTTTCCTGCTCTTCTTTTTATAGAAAATGTGATTAGAAAGTTGTGGTTGGAATACATGGTGCTGAACATGGAAATCTTAGTTTTCAAAATCACATTTCTTCTGTCATCAAACAGTGGTTCATGATTAGTAATATATCTGAGCCACTGGGGATAGTTGAGGAAATGAACCAACTGACTGTAACAGACTGATTTGTTTCCTGTAACCCTTTAATTATAAAAGGTCATAATTTTATCTACACTCAAGAATCAATTGAGGAACAAAAGCAAAATTCCTCTGCATAATTTGCTTTGCTCATTTTTATTGGAGTTTCACTTCAGCCAGTTATCCCGCAATAATTTTGGTGAGTTTAGTATGGATACTCAGATGCATTTTAGGATTTCTGAGGGCGGCGAATGATACAAGCTCTTGAAAATACATATGAAAGAGCATGCAAACTTGGATAGAAATACATTGCATCCATGTACGGATGAGCTGATATTTTATGATTTCCAGCTGTATTTAATACATGTTAGAACTAGTTCTCACCACTGTCATGGAGAGTTTCTTTTCCTTTAACCCTATTTATATAATCAAAAGCACAAGTGAAACTAAGGCAGAATAGACACTTAAAACAAAAAAGGAAAAAAAGTTAAAAATTAAGGCTTTCCAAGGTAGAATATTTGTGATTTTGTTTATTCTTTGTCTGTACGTTTGGGTTTGCTACATCTTTGAACTTAATGTAAAGCATATTTTCAGACTTGCCCATCTTAACTGATGTGTTTACAAATACCTAAAGTTTAGAGCTAAATACAGCCTGATCTGATTTCTGAATGGTCATGGGGCTTTGGCTTAATTGACTGGTTTGATTTTTCAGCTACTTTTATTTCCCTTGCCAAACATTCCACTAGACATGCTAACAAGAAATGAAATGGTCATAGGGCTGGGAGCCAGAAGGAAACGAGTGATAAGCAAAGGTCTAGGTAGTACAAAAACACAGTAACTGGCCACTGTAATTGACAGTTGGCTGTATGAGGCAAACTATCTATGACTACACTTAATGTATGCATTGAATTTTGCAGGCATATTATTCTTCACAGAATTGTATTAAGGCAAGAACATAGAAAATTATAGTGATTATAGTGATTTATGGAGAACATGCCTATGAAAGATTTCATTCATTCCTTCGTTCATTTATTTGTTTGTTCATCCATTCTTTTAATTTCGGGTCAGTCTCTGGGATCAGTCTTCAGGCAGTGGATTTATCAGTTCAAGAGAGATAGAAGTTTCCAAGGAAATGTTGAATATTCCTTTTTGTCTTGAATATTGTCAAATCCGTGCTTAATTAGAATTTTGAAGAAGCAAGTTCTGGAGTCTTAAGCCTTCGGATAAATGAATGGCTTTTCAGACATTTACCAGATTAACAAGATATATATGATGTGTTACCCAAAATATATAACTAAATCAGTATCTTAATGGAGGATAGATTGGGATATCAATTGATTGTTACATATATAAAAATTATCTGAAAATTATAGAATTTAAATATATTTTACCTCTCATTAAATAAGACATATAGCTTGGGATGCATTCAAATGCTAAATATAACAAGTATAACCTGCATGATACCAAGCCATAATTCATAACCAGTGTGAGTTAAGAGTTTTTGCCTATGAAAGGAGAAAGCAAGCAAAGAACGCTATTTTCTATCACCAGAATAGCAAACTTTCATGATATAGAAGGAACATATGAGGAAAGCTTAAAAGTGTACACTGTATTAGGGATGCATCGATATTTGTTAAAGAGCAATTTGCTCAAAGTCTTTCAGCAGTGCTCACTCAAGACTTGATTCAGGTTCTCCTGACATGGAAGACAAGTAATTTGCCTTCTTTTTGTAATAGAATGGAATTATATTTAAAACAATATTACAGCAAAAATAAAGGAAGAGAATTATATTGTAGTAACAGTGTAGGCTTTGAAATCAGAGACAGCCATGTTAAGGATTTGCTAGAGAACTAGCTAATTATGTAACCTCAGCTAGTTTCTTAAATCCACTATGCTTTTGGTTGAGGGCATCATAAAATGGGAATAATATATGTTACTAAAGCATAGATGATGTGAAGATGACGTGATATAATGTATGTATGTAATATGTATGTGTATATATGTAATGTTATATAATGCTAACTATGCAAAAAATTTACTAGTGTTTCCCATATATAAAAAAATATCCATCTTCCATATTTCTTTTCTTTTTGAAAAGTTCATTTTGCGTTACTTATTTTCCAAGTTGTTATCATAACGTATATAGAGTATATTTTCAGCTTTGTTCACATGATATTAAAGTGTAACAATAAGGTAAAATGCTAGGCTTCAGAGTTCTCATTTTAATTCAAAATAATCCATAGAATTAACACCCAACGATCGCATTAAATTATTACCCATGGCTTAACATATATTCTATTTGTGAATCTCTATATAAATATACTTAGCACTTTTGTATCTAACACTTTTTCATATTTTAAATGTTTCCCACAGCATAAATTTCCAAAAATAACAGCATACTCTGTTCAGGTCGCTACTTTTGATTTTATTACTTATTAGTTGTATGACATTGGGTAAGTTAATTACCCTCTATCTCCGTTTTCTCATGTGTAAAATGGAAATGATAATAATAAGTTATCATATATAAAACAATTAAACCAGCAAAGTGCATACAATAAGACCATATAAATACATTTAAATGCTCATTAAAAGGTATAATGGCATTTAAGTCCACATATTTCTAAAATGGTTATTATAAGTTACTGCCAACAACAGTTTTAATTTTATTTTCCGTTTAAACATGGATTTTATCATTTTTAATACGTTAATTATACAGATTTTAAAAGTTATAATTATTAGTCTTAATTGTTTTATGAAAATCATATGTAGGATCCATGAAGATGGGGACTTTGATTTACTTGCTCTAACCAGCATAAAAAGGAGCACCTAGGGGCGCCTGGGTGGCGCAGTCGGTTAAGCGTCCGACTTCAGCCAGGTCACGATCTCGCGGTCCGTGAGTTCGAGCCCCGCGTCGGGCTCTGGGCTGATGGCTCAGAGCCTGGAGCCTGTTTCCGATTCTGTGTCTCCCTCTCTCTCTGCCCCTCCCCCGTTCATGCTCTGTCTCTCTCTGTCCCAAAAATAAATAAACGTTGAAAAAAAAATTAAAAAAAAAAAAAAAGGAGCACCTAGTCCATAGTTCTATAAATATCTGTAGAAAATACAAATGATTGTGGAAATCCTGGCTCTATCTTGGGCTGGAAAGCAGAAATACTTGATTTTGTAGATCAGCTGAGATGCAGTTAAAGGGAATAAAAGGGGTATATATTAGGTTCACAAAGAGCCATGCCAAATAAGCCAATTTAGATATCATAGGTTATAGGCCCTTGTTCTGAAAACCAATCTTCTTCCTTTTTTTTTTTTAGTTTTATTTTCTATTGAAAAATGTTTCTTTGTTAAAACTGGGAAGATAGTTTACATTTTTTAATTCATCAGGTGTATCATAGTGTATTCTATATATATTCATCACATGATATTTGTTTGTTATTTATCATATATCCAGGTAAACCAGTTATGATTGTCACAGAATACATGGAGAATGGTTCCTTGGACAGTTTCTTACGTGTAAGTAGAAGATTTTATATATATTCATATATCTCTTATCCCTATCTATCTATATACACATATGCATAAATGTGGAATGAATGCTAAAGATGTTAGAGGCAACCTCTCATATCTTGCCAGCAATTAGATAACAAAGTTTAAAGTGGAACTGAAATGTGGGGGGTCTAAATAGTAAGAGGAAGACTAAAATTGCATCTTTATCTTGCAGTGTCCAAGGTTAATGGCTTATATTTGTAAAACAAATCTATGCAATCTGCTTCAGCTTTTTGTACTGCCAAGATTCACATTGGCTAAAATAAAAATTAAAAAAAGACTTTTAGTAAGACACAAATAACGCTGATATAAGACAAATATTCTCTTGTCTTCACTTAAAATAACCTCAGACTGCTATAGGAAGAACATGTCTCGCTCACATAGAGCTTTGGTCTCAGAAAATGAGCAAGTGTTAACAACGCCAAAGTAGTCTTAATTCAGAGATACCATTTTGGTATATGTGCTGCTGAAGCAAGCACCAGAGACACATTTTGGTAATAGATGTGCATCCATATCTATTTTTTAAATATTTAAACTTAGAAACTTTTTTTTTAAGTTACTTCAGTAAAAATTTGTTCAAAGAAATGCAAAAAATTTATGGAAAACAAGGCACTGCCAATCACCAGTGACTGCAGGGATTAAAAAAGACATACACTCTGTCCTCAATATGCTTTCAGCACTATAGTAGGGTGCCTGAGTGGCTCAGTCGGTTAAGCGTCTGACTCTTGGTTTTGGCTGAGGTCATGATGTCTCAGTTAGTGAGTTTGATCCCCTCATCAGGCTCTGTGTTGATAGTGCAGAGCCTGCTTGGGATCCTCTCTCATTCTCTCTCTCTCTCCCTCCCTCTCTCTCTCTGTCTCTCTGCCCCTCCCCTGCCCATGCTATTTCTCAAAAAGAAATAAATAAACTTAAAAAGTGTTTTTAAATAAAATTAAAAAAGGAATTCAGCGCTATAGAATAGAGATGGGTAGAGAGAGAGATAGACGATAGATAGATAGATAGATAGATAGATAGATAGATAGATAGATAGATATTAGATAGATAGAATAGGATGATTCATTATCATAGAAGAGAATTCTAAATTTTCTATAAATGAGAAATTGCATTCCTTATTTTAATATTCACGAGGCAAACAATTTTTTAATGTTTATTTATTTTTGAGAGAGACAGAGAGAAAGAGAGAATGCGTGTGCACATGGGGTAAAAGCGGGGAGGTGGGGAGAGAATCCTAAACGGACTCCACACTGTCAGTACAGTGCCCAATGTGGGGTTCAGACTCACTAACGGTGAGATCATGACCTCAGCCAAAATCAAGAGTTGGCTGTTTAAACTACTGAGCTACCCAGGCACTCCAAGGCAAACACAGTTTTATCAGCAGTTATTTTCACAAGCATTTCAAAAACAAATATTCTTCAAATCGGGTCATAGAAACCATTATAATACATATTCTTTTAAAATGTTATTGTGTATATATAACTAAACATGGAATTTTATAGCTACTTATTTATACATGCATTTATGCACATATTTACATATGTATGTATGTGTATTTGTTTACCTATCTATCATATAAATCATGTATTTCTGTTTTTTTTTAAGTTTATTTATTCATTTTTGAGAGAGAGAGAGAGAGAGAGAGAGAGTGAGCGAGCTGGGGAGGGGCAGAGAGAAAGGTAGACAAAGAATCTCAAAGAGGCTCCATGCTGTCGGTGCAGAGCCCCACCCCACCAACTGTGAGATCATGACCTGAGATGAAATCAAGAGTAGGATGCTTAAGCCCAGTTCCCCTTGTATTTCTATTTTAATCAAAGTAAATTGGAAGTTTTTCTAAATACAGGACTCTGACTTGTGTTTTGTTGTTTTCCATTTTATGAACTATAACTGAAGATTGAGTAGAAAAACAAATACTCAGTAAATATCTTTGACCAATTCTGAAAGAATTATGATGATTTAAAAATTTAACATCTACCTTATTTGAAGCAATTAATAAAATATCTGGAAAACTAGAAGGAAGAATGAACACTCAATCAAACAAATATGTAAAACTAAAATAGCCCCAAGACTCATTTCATTTTGTTGTTCCTGAGGTTAAAATTTCTGAGGAGTTTGTATGTCACATAAAGACCATGAAAGCTATGGTATTGAACCTGAAGTGAAAGAATATTTAGGGTCCTTCTTGTTATGAACTATTTAGTGATGAAGCTACTATGCTATTTTGTTTTAGCCTTATTTCTGTTTATTCACATAGCTTGTGAGGCTGGGGTGCTTGGAACTAAAATGTATATAATCAGTCTTCTTACAATTTAGTGTGTGAGATTGTAACCAAGATTTATCTTTAAGAAAGAGCAACACATCTTAATTGTATATTTGAAATACTTCTCAGAAACACGATGCCCAGTTTACGGTCATCCAGCTAGTGGGGATGCTTCGAGGGATAGCATCTGGCATGAAGTACCTCTCAGATATGGGTTATGTTCACCGAGACCTTGCTGCTCGTAACATTTTGATCAACAGTAATTTGGTGTGTAAGGTTTCTGATTTTGGACTTTCACGTGTTCTAGAAGATGACCCAGAAGCTGCTTATACAACACGAGTGAGTACCTTTTTTTTCTTTTCTTTTTTCCTTTTTATCTTTGTTTCCCACCTTGTGCTATGTTGATTTGCGAATAAATAGAAATCACCTCTCTCCCTGCTGTCAATTATATCTTCCCCCAAAGGAAACATATCCTTTAACATTAAAATACTGTTACTTATTCTGAGAAAATAGATGGCCATTGTTTATAAGGTGGCATACCTCTGTCCAATTAGATACAATTTTAAAGCATTTTAAAATTCATGTTTATATAAGTAACACATGCTCACACTATAAAAATTTCAAAACAAAGCAATAAAAAGGAATAAAGTCATCCATAATTCTGCCACCCATAGAGAACACTTGTAACTTTGTCAGTTAATTCTTCCAGATTTTTTTCTACATACCTATTATACATACCTATGAATGAATATGTAATTAGATTAGGATTATGTATAGGATTATTTATAACATCACTGTATAGCCTTTTTTTCTCTTAGCCATATATCTCTTGAATGTATTTCATTGTCAGTAAGTTTGGTATATTCTATTACCTGGTTTGCCATTTAAAAAATTAACCCCTAATTATTGAGCAAATTAGTATTATATCTATCTTTTCTTTCTTTGTTAATTATTATTATTATTATTATCATTATTATTACTATTACTATTTTATCATGATAAGTGTACTCTTTAATCCCCATCCCCCTACCCACCTCCTCTCTGGGAAACCATCAATTTGTTCTCTAAGTTAAGAGTCTGTTTCTTGGTTTGTCTCTCTCTCTCTCTTTTTTTTTCTTTGCTTGTTTGTTTTGTTCCTTAAATTTCACATATGAGTGAGATCATATGGTATTTATCCTTCTCTGACTGATTTCACT